AGGTGCGGTGGAAGGTGAGATAACTGAGCCACGCGGTGAGGAGCTGTGTGAGGTGGCGGTGGTTTGGAAAGTAAATGAGGGGGCGCTGTTGATATCTTCCATCATTGCGACGGCGGAGGGTTTGCGGGAGGAGGAGGTGGTAGTGTGTGTTGTTGTTGATGTCCTGTGTTTTGTTTGTTAATTTGTGCGTTTGTGCCACGATGATGGGGATGATAGGGTGATATGGAGTGGGGAAAGGGGGAAGGGGGAAAGGGGGAGGGGGGAAAAAAGGAGAGGGGAAAAGGGGGGACATACATCTCCGTAGCAGCCTGACTTCCTCCTCTACTCCCACTATTACCACTGCTGAACCTAGCAAGATACCTCTTCCCCGCCGCCACAAGACTAAGTTTATCCAACCACCCCCCCCTCCCCCCATCAACACTCCGTCTCCTCTCCCTCAACAACCTCGGGAAACAACCCCCCAACCCCACCCCCACCGCAACCCTTGCATAAATCCTCCTCGCCTCCTCCCCCACGCCAAAGAAGACAAACACGAACCCCGCCATCGCAACCGGGACATAGCGATCAAACGTAAAAACGCCCTTCGCAGGGACGTAAGGGATCACAGCCCAGACGGCGGGGTCGTGGACGGCGGACCAGGAGTAGGGCTCGAGGGGTTGGGAGAGGTTGATGTAGAAGAAGTAGATGTTGAGGGGGAGGTAGAGGAGGAGGAGGAGGAGGGAGAGGAGGAGGAGGCGGAGGAAGCGGGAGGCTGTTAGGGAGTGGGTGGTGAGGATTGTGGAGATGGTGGAGCGGTGGCGGTGGAGGCGGGTTAGGACGAGGGCTGTGGGGGGGGGGTTAGTGGAAGGTTCGTGGAAGTTGGTGGTGGTGGTGGTGGTAGGAGAGAAAAAGGGGGAGAGAGGGGATGAGGGTGATAATGGGGGGTGGGGGAGGGCTGGGGGGGTGAGGTATTAAAAGGGGGACTAACCAGCATAATAAACATTAACCAACGTAAAAACAAGCGGCCAAATCCAAATAATCAAAATACTCGGCCAACTCCCCGAATAACTATCCGTACACCCCCCAATCGCCACAATCAAATACCGTCGATTATGCACCACATGATGCAACCCCACAATCAACAGCGGCACCGCAAAACAGATCCCCAAATCCACCCACACCCTCCTCCTCTTCCTCGCCCTCGACGGGTTCAACTCCGCATTCTCGACATCGAGCACCCGAGCCAGGGAACGCGTGATCGCCATCGTCGAAGCAGCGACCCCGACGGTGATGGGCCACATGATCTTGACTTCGATGTCGCACAGGATGGCGCCGTCCCACCAGGTGGAGAAGTTGTTGTCGGGCCAGAGGAGGGCGTTGATGAAGACCATGAGGTTGAAGAGGGTGAGGTAGAAGATTAGGGCGCAGGCGCCGGTGTTGCGGGCGCGCAGGTGGAAGATGAAGGGGACAATGAGGATGAGGATGCTGAGGAGGGAAAGGATGGGGAGGAGGTAGGCGTGAGCTGTTGTGGGTTCGTGGGGGGGAGCGGGGAGGGGTGTGGTTGGGGAGGCTGGAGAGGCCATTGTGAGAATGAGGTGAGGAGGAGGTTTGTTGTTGGATTCTTCTTTCGTCAATGGAGGGGCGAGCAAGGCCCTTTTTACATTCACAGCTCGGGGGCCATAGAATCTCGACGAGTGTCTGATGTATGTCCGTCTGTCTAACGATGTTGGATCAAGGAGCGCGGGCGATGGCGCAGTGCCGGGCGTGGGCGTTTATGGACGGCCATGGCTGAGAGACGAAGACAGGAAAATGTGATAGATAGCTAAGGGAGATATGATGGGGAGCATTGCAACATGCAACATGTATGTCTTGTCTTGGCTCGTTTGCGTGGAAGGTCTGGTTTGGTCTGTGTGGCGAGAGGGTCTGTCTGAGGCGGGTGTGTATATTTAGAGTCGTGTGTGTGTCGATCATGGCCCTCGATCGATCGGGGAGATGGGGCCGGGTGTGCGTGCGGGAGGGGGAGGGTGTGTGAGTGGGTGCGTTGGTTGGGTGCGTGGGTGAGCTGTAGGGGGGGAGGAGGAGGAGCAGGTGGGTTGGTGGCAGGTGTCATTGGGTGTCGGTAGTTAGACGGGGAAGGGATGAATCAGATATGGGATTGAAAAACAAAGTTGAGGTGAGGGACGGTGTGAGGAGGGCTGAGGATGGTTAGCATGGGTATGAGTAAGGGTAAGGATGGTTAGAGGGTTAGGGGCAAAGGCGAGGGGAGTGCGTTGGAGACTTGGTTGTTTGGTAAGAAGGTGGAGGCGGGCCCTAGTCTCTCTCTCCCTCGGGCAAATAACCCGACTAGGGAGAGTAGAGTAGAGTACAGTAGCAATGGGGAGATACATGGCGCACATTGCCGTAACTAACGGACTTGTGTCTGTCTACTTACCGGAGCTAGCTGGAAGGGATTGGGAAGGATGAATAGATGAAGGGGTTGGGTTGGTGGAGAGGAGGGAGGGAGGACGTGCTTTTCGCGCCACCGGGGACAAGATGCGGTTGCGGTTGGGATTGAGGTGCAAAGCTGATAGCTGCAGGGAAATTTATAGCGGCAGTGTCTAGCTGCAGGGCAGAGTGTGGCGGCAATGTCTAGCTGCAGGTTCATATGGACGGGAAGGGGAAGGGACTGGAGTCGAGGACATGGGAGGAGGGATGGGAGGGGGAGGGGGGAGGATGGAAGGGAAGTATTGGGGTGAGACGGTGTGATTGAGGGAGTGAGTGGTTGGGTGGATGGTGGTGGAGGGTGGAGGGTGGAGGGTGAGTGTGTTTGTTGGGTATGTGGTATGTGTGGTATGTGTGTATGCAATGTGTGTATGCAATGTGTGTATGCATGAGAGGATGTGGGAGGTGGGAGAGGGGAACAACAGATAGATGCAAGCAGTGTGATTGGGAGTGAGTGGGGGTGGTGGTGATTGGGAGTGATTGTAAGTGATTGGGAGTGATCGAGAGTAATTGGAAGTGACTGGAAGTGATCGAGTAAGAGTTATGATGATCGAGAGTGATCGAGGGTTGTTTGGGGGCGATGCAAGATGCTGTAGGGTAGTGTAGGGTAGCATTGGATGAGATGAGATGACATGAGGCGACATGATACCAGCTGCTACTACTGTCGTGTGAGATGAGATGAGATGGATCTATCCGGTGGTGTTGTGTTGTGTTGTGTTGTGTGAGATGAGATCGGATGGGATAACCAGATGTCGACATGGTGCAATGCCGATATAGTAATCCGAGACGAGTAGACGGGAAGGACGATATTGAGATGAGTGAGTGAGCGAGTGAGCGTGAGTAGAAATAAGTTGTATGATGAAGCCGTGTATGAGTTGAAGCCGTGTATGAGTTGAAGCCGTGTATGAGTTGAAGCCGCGTCTCTGATATCTGGCTGCCGGCCATCATCCCTCATTCTCACATCCCACCCACCGACGGAGATGACAGTGTGTGCATTCAGTGATTGACCACATACCCCCCCCAATCCAGACCCGAATAGAAAGAGGAAGAAATCCTCCGACTGGCCAATACATAACAGAACAGAACAGACAGTCAAAAAAAGACACACGTTAAAAAAATAAATCCCCCCTTCTTCTCGCCCGCATATCCTATTGAGACCCGTTTTGGGACTAGCGCCGGATCGGATGTGAGAAGGGATGGGATGGGAAGGTTTGAGTGGGGGCGAGTAAAAGGGAAGAAAGAGAGACGCAGAGAGATGAAAGAGAGACAGGTGGTTTTTTTGAGATTGTAGGGGATCGAGATCGGGCGGTTGTAGAGATGGTTGTGTTTGTTGGTTAAGGTGAGGTTGTTGGTGGTGGTTGTGGTTGTGAGTGAGATGGGTGATCTTTTGTTAACTGACCCACGAACGAGAACACAAAAACAAACTATGAATGAGTGCTGCAATTGCACATCCTCACTCTCTTTCAATCCCTTCACAAACTATACAATACACAGCTTCATCTCTGTGTTGCTGTCTATACTCACCACCACCAAACAAAACACCGTCGTCGTCCCTTCCCTCACCAATAGACCCCTACACCCATCTCATTGGTCCACTCATCACCACCACCACCCACTTTACACCACAGCCTTAACCGCCTTTTGATGGTCCAAGCTCCCTCCCCTCTCCTCCCACAGTACCATTATCCCCACCACCTCCATATTATAATCCCCACGATCCATCTCATCGACAAGACGGCTGGGTCCGTAGGTAGTGAGATACAGACACACACTCTAGTTAGGTTGGGTCAGTGCGGTGGAGCGAGACGGCGGCGGCGGGTGGGTAAATGGGTAAATGAAGTTTGATAGCTTAAATTGATGGGGGTAGGTTGGTGGAGGGAGGGGTTGGGGATGTAGAGGGATGAGAGGGACGATAGATACGAGAGGGGAGAGAAGGGGGAGGAGTGGGAGATATAGAACACGTGCCTGCCTGTACCTGCGTGTGTTCTCAGAGACGGGTGAGAGGGAGAAGGGGGGAGTAACAGAGGGAGATGAAAGAGAGAAAGAAAGAGAGAGGCACGTGCCTTTACCTTTGTATGTATACGGGATTCCAGATCGACTTATGGCGATGGTGATGGTGAAAGCCACGATGATGATGGTGGTGGGGAGTTGAAAGGTCCTCAGCCAAGAGGCCATCCCCACTCCGCCAAGATTAATATACAGAGAATAAGTCAGCAATGGAGCTACCATTCCGCCGTCCACCGCCCTTCCTTACCCCTCCCCTCCTCTCCCCCATTGCAACGACGAAGAAAATATTACACCGTGCTGATTCCCATCATACCATGATTATCGGGGACATGGAAGGCGGGGGTGGGCTGTGCTGAGATAGTCGCGTGGTGCGCGGGGTCAATAGTAGATGTATAAATTAACAGATGCCCCAGAGGATGGTCTACGGTAGATCAAATTACTGTTTATTTGCACCAAACTCCTATCTTCCAATTACCTCCAATTTTGTTGGAAGGATAAACTCAAGCTGTCGAGATGAAATTCACCGCCCTCACAACCCTCCTCCTCCTCCCCCTCCTCACACTCGCCTCCCCCGCCCCCGTCGCACCCTCTGAAGCAGATTCCCCCATCCCCGCACCCCTCCTCGACATCTCCGCCTTCTCCCCGCGCGACTCCACCACCAACCTCGTCGACCGCGCATCCGGCGCAGACTGCAAAATCATCAACGTCTCCTCCTACGTAAACTGTCGTTCCGGACCGGGTACACAATATCCCGTTGTCTACAAGCTGCCGACAGGTGAGAAGATCCATTTCGATTGTTATAAACGCGGGGAATGTATTAATGGGAATTGGTGAGTTGACCTAAACCCTGTGGTTGTGATAGTGAAGGGGTGGGGAAGAGAGAGATGGGGGAGGGGAGAGAGAGAGATGTGTGGTGGCTAATGCGCTGTGTGTGCCGCAGTACCTGGGATCGCTTCGTGAGCGGGACGAAGAGTTGTTTTGCGAGTGGGTATTATACTGATAGCGCTTGTACTATTGGTGAGTTCTCCTGAAATCAAAGGAAAAATCTGGGGGGTGAGGGGGGTGGTGATGGTGATAGGGAGATTGTGTGGCTAATGAGGTTCTGTGGTGTAGCTGCCCTCGGGCCGTGTCCTTAGGTGCGTTAGGGCGGTATAGAGTGGGTTTAATGGGGTTGTTGGTGTAGATATGAGGTGTTTGTATGGTTTGTATGGTTTGTATATATATTACCATTCTCCATCAATAAAGCAGGTGTAGAATTCATACACAGAGAGAAAGAGAAAAATACATTATTAAATAACTTTAATTCCTACACAAACTGGGTATATCCACTACCACCATTATATATAACATCACATCACCTTCTTCACACCCCCTTTCACCCCTCCCTTCCCATCCCCCATCTCCCCAGTCCCCCTCCCCCTCCCACCCCACCCCCCAAAAACCCACCCCGCAACCCCCCTCACCACCCCAAGCGGCCACCCAACCACCCCCGCCACAACCCGTCCCGGCAACTGCACCCCCCACCTCACCCACCCCCCCTCTCCCAACCATCCCTTCCCCCACCCCTTCCCCTCCTCCTCTCCCCGCACCCTCCTCCCCACCTCCCCCACCCTCCCCTCCAGCTCCCCCAACCGTCCCTCCACCCGTCCCGCCAACACCCCAGCCCTCTTCTCATACCTCCTCACGGCCCTACTAAGCGCCTCGACTTCCTGTCTCGTCGCTCTCTTCACCTCCTCCCTAACCCTCGCTAGTACCTCTTCTTCCCCCTCCCCTGCCGTCGCTGCGGATCCCTGCTGTTGTTCGAGAGCATCCACGCGCTGGCGGAGCGTTTCAATCTCCCCATCCTGCCGCTCATCGATCCCCGTGCGCGGATCAACCCTCACAACCCTCTGCAACCACAACGTCCGCGCCCTCACCAACCTCAATAACTGCCCCACTGGCCTAATCTCAGCAGCTAACATGAACACCACGATATTAAAATCAGACACTAAACCTGATACATCCGCTCTTAGCGAGGCGCGCAGGATGTGGAGGAGCCCGGCGGCGAGGAGGGGGAAGGTGACGCAGGAGAGGAGGGCGAGGAGCTCGTGGGTGCGGAGTTCCTGCGTGGCGGAGGTGTAGGTTGCGATTTCGCGGGCGTGTTGGGGGGAACGGGGTGTATCGGACTTGGTTACGGGGGGGAGAGGGGTGCCGCTGGGAGAGGTGGTGCGGATTTCTTGGGCGGAGCGGTACCAGTCCCTGTTTGCGTTTGTTAGTGTGTGATTTTTTCTGGCAATCGTAGGAGGGGAAGAGGTGGTGGGAGGAGAGAGGAGGAGAGAGGAGGAGGGAGGAGGAGAGAGGAGGAAAGAGGAGGAAAGAGGAGGTGAGAGGTGAGAACGGGAGGAATGCGAAAAAGGGAGACAAACCAAGGCAACCTAACACTCCAATTCAAAAACACCCCCGCCAACCCCAACAAAAGCACATCACTAACAAACCTACTCCCATCTTTAAACATCAACCCCCCCAACGCCGGCAACAACGCAAACGCAAGCGGCAAACTATGCCACGCAGACAACCCATCATGCGCATCCACCGGCGGCGGGTGCAGCAGCGACGCGGAGTCGGAATGTAACGCCCGCCGCGCGGAGGAGAGGGAGGAGAGAGAATCGATTGATATTAGGGAGCTGCGACGCCGGGGGGCGGGGGGGTAGGGGCTGTCGGAGAGGGGGGAGGGGGAGCGCGAACGGGGAGGGCGCGCTGGTGGGGGGGATGAAGACTCGGGGAGGGAGGCGAGGCGGGGACGGCGGAATTGGGAGGATTCGGCGGTGGTGAGGGTGCGGCGGGAGGGGGGGTCGGAGGGGGTTGCCATTTTGGTGGTTGTGGTTTGTGGTTTGTGATGTGATGGTTTATGATGTTGGCGACGAGGCTGAGGTGTCGCGTGCCCGGCTGGGTTGTTCTCACTGGCGCTGGGAGTGTAGTTCAGACAAGAAATGCTGTGGGAGAGGCGTGCGTGTAACTATCTGACGCGGGTTCGTCTGGCCGTGGGGTAGTATGGCCATGGAGACGAGGATATAGATATAGAGTTAAGCTGGCTGGTTGCGGCAGTTACGTCTCGTGCGACCCTGATGAGCTGGTAGCTAGCTGGATAGGGCTGAAGGGCGGCGGCGGGGGCGGGCGAGGATGCTGACTGGTTGACGCGTTGAAGGGGTGAAGTGGATTGGAGGGTGGTCTGTGCGCGTCTCCGAGGGTATATAGGGTTATTGGCAAAGCTTCTTCGCACCATCTTCCTTTCATAATTATAGCTGAGAACGAAGCATGGTCAATTCCGCATAAGTTGAGCATTTTCTCTCTTCTTGGTTTTTTGATGTTATGGCCAGTCAAGCTGCCAAGGCAATTGGCTTCTCTGACTATTATTTTCCTTTATTTTCTGCAGTCTCGATTTGTCTCGCGTTTCTTCAAAGTCGTCGTCATGCTCCACTAACGCGAGCAGGAAGGGTTGTTACAGTTGGCTTAGTAGCTGCAAGACATAACAACCCCACCAATCGACAGCTCTTTTTCAAAACTTACCCATGTTATATATAGATTCTGAAATCAGGCTTCCATTTCAGGGACACGAAAGTCACGTGTGAAAGGATGCGTATCCCTGAAACGTGCCCAATGCGTGGATATTAGCCTGATCCTTCTGCACTCCATTACGACGACAACAAGACATCAATATATAGGCAACAGCATACCGATCGCTTTCATTTGCCCAAGCATCCACATTGTCTTGTTTACTCGGGCTTGTTTTGGAGGGCATCGCAGCGGTTAGCTCTAAACGAGCTCTTGCTCTCCGAAAACATGTCGTCGCAGAAGTACGACATTTCGCCAATGGCATTTAAATACGACATTGCACCCCGACAATTCAAACCGACTCTACCACCGACTCAATCGTATCTTCCAACGCGCCCCTCATCTACCCCGCCCTCCACCACATTGCCGTCCTCATACTCAACCGCAACATCAAACACCCTCTTCACAAAATCACCCCCCTTCATCCCAATGGCCACCACCACCGAAGAACCCCCCGCCACAACCACCACAACCTTCCACCGCGTCCCCTCCTCCGACCCCCGCCCCTCAACCGACTCAGACGCCGACTCCCTCTCCACCAACGCGCGCCTCATCCGCCCCACCTCGCACCACACCGCCCAGCCCGACTACACCCACACCTACACCATCTACCCCACCACGCTCTTCCGCCTCGTCGCCCTCATCCTCCTCATCGTCTCCGTCGCCCTCTACGCCTCCAAGGGCGCCCACCGCGCCGTCCCAGCCATCCTCTTCATCTCCCTCGCCTTCCTCCGCATCCTCATCGGCTTCATCTACCACACCTCGCGCGCCGCCCGCTGGCGCGGCGGCCGCGGCGTCAACCTAGCTGTCGACTTCGCGCTCGTGGCTGGCCTCGCTGGGTCGATTGGGGGGGCGTTCGCGGTAGATCTTTCTTATTGGGGTCATACGAATATAGCGGCTTCTATCCTGGGATGGGTTGCTTGGTGAGTCCTCCCCTAACAGCTAAGGCTTTTGTGGTTGGGTGGAATTTTGGGCTAATTAGTGGCGTTTATTTAGTTTGTTTCTTGGTTTGGCGGCTGTGGATACGGGAAGGCCGAGTAGGATTGCGATTACGACGAGGTTGAATTTCGATGTCACGACGTCGCTGAGTCTGGATTTCCGGACTAGGAGGGGTGTGCTGTCGCTTGATGGTTGGGATTCTGAGAGGCCGGAGATGGGACGGAGTGCATCGCGGCTTGTGTAGATGTGATTGGTCGCGGTGGATGGGGTGCAGCTACGGGCGTGATATATAACAGTAAGTTGTTCTTTTTTTTGCTTGTACATTCTGAGGGAGGGACGGCGCATATGATGATCCAGATATTATGTCAAACTAGTCGGAGGCAGCTAGAAACTGACCGATGGCGATAAAATTCTGAGTACTGATGGCTGTCTCTTTTTGAACGGTGGTGTTGGGCTGTTGGAGTGTCGGGAGAGGCGGTTTTTGAGATTACGGCTGCTGACCTATATAGTACTGTACGTATGATCTGGATCATGGTTTCAGTAATGGGTTAGGAGTTAGGGTATTCGTGGGATGGTTGGATATTTAGAGAACTATTATGAACGTATATTTTCCACACAGCTATACTTACGATATTCATGATACTCCTGCGGCCCATGAGTTTGAAGTGAGACGGTGCATTATGGCGCCAACTGTACAACTGTCCGTGAAATCAATCCTCTGTGGTATGATTTATTGATTGCTAGATTGATATAGAAATAAATAAAGGGAATAATCGCACATTGAGATGGATAATGGAAGACTTTAGGGCTGTGGATAATATATTTTCTACGCATTTATGTAATGCCTTATTTATTTGTGATTTTAATATGCAAAATCATCAACGAATTACGTGTTGAGATTAAACAGAGGCAGTAATTTTCTTCAAATACGGTGTATTATATATTTATACATAATACATATAGCAAACTTCTAGATAGAACCTGCCACTCCTTGAATTAATGCAGAAGTCAACAATGTGATACTGAATGAGGTCTATTTGTATGCGACAAACTATTACTCACGTCAAAATATATGGCTCAAATAATAATATCTCAGGCCCCAAAATATTATTATAAAGACACTCTATAATAACAAATTATATTGTATACACCTTTTAACGCGAAATGTAACCGCCATATATGTTTGCTCTATCCACGTAATTAATTGTTATGTGATGCCTAAAATCACGTGACCCCAACACCCACTAGCGTGCTGTAATCTACCTAGCGTGCTCGTTAAGCATGATTTTGCGCCGTGTCAGTCCCGGAGCGTGCGCGCACCTCGCAACTCATCCAGCTCCATCTCACCCACCCCCATCCATCAAAATCCGCGTCGTCGATGGAAGTACCGTCAATCCCCTTCGCGCCAATCACCCCCCGCCCCTCAACCTAGTTTGATATCAACGACAAAACCCCCTTCGACAAACACCTTTGTTCGCCGCGCGGGTAATTGTCGAATAGGGATACCCCGACTTCACCCCATTTGCCTCACGATTTCAACTACTTTTGCCCCTTCCGCCCGCACAAGGTCGCGCCAAGCCTTCGCGAACCTCCAAAAAGTTATCCCCAACGACCACGCCGACGCGACGGGGCGACTTGAGGCGCGACAACTCCTGACTAGAGCCTTTGCGACCTTCCCACACCCCGACTTCGATACTGGAGGCCCGTTTGCTCGACGCCCCCGACAAATCAGTGTCGCTTCCTTTGGCATCACGCCTCAACACCAGCCGACACCTTACGCGCAAGGCTGCATCTTGATATGCGCTCTGGCTCTTAATAGACTATAGTCCCATCGAGCATTGAGGTCCAGGCCACAGGCTCACCCATCATGGCTACCGTCCAGGCTGCTCCTGCAGCCCAACAACAACAAATGGGCGCTGCCCTTCCATCGGGACTGTCCCAGCAGGCGGTCCAGGAGATATATATGGTGAGTTGGCGCACGAATCCGTCGACACTTGTCGCAACAACATGGATTGATGCTAATGCCGTCACAGAAATTTAAGCAGATGAAAGAATCGGGCGTGTCCGACCAAGATCCCGAATACCAAAAGGTCCACAACATGCTGATGGCCATCCAACAACAGCGCATGTATAACAAACAGCGCCAGTTTCAACAACAGCAGCAACAACAACAGAATGCAAATAATGCTACGACGAATGGAAACAATGCTGTTCGACCTCCACAACAGAATTCGGCTACCGCGCCTACACCACCAAGCCAGCCTACGTCAGCAACAGCGCCACCGGTTGCGGTATCAAAGGCGAACGCAGCACAGTCTGCACAAGCAGCACAGCGTTCATCGGCGGCTGGCAGTGGATTGTTCACAGCAGACCAGCTTGGCATACTGAAGCATCAGATCTTCGCGTTCAAGTGCCTGTCGAAGAACCTCGGCATCCCACAATCCACACAGCAGCAATTATTCGCATCGCACCAAAAGAAGCAAGCCACCACCGATGGACTGATTGCATCTGCTGTGAAGACCTTGGATGACGCACAGCCAAGCGCGAATGGCAAGCCGAAAGACTCGTCGGCGGCCCCAGAACCGGCTGAAGAGGAGGAAGAGATGTCTACAACAATCGATCCATACTCGCTGATTCCTAGCAAGATGAGCTACTCCAAGCACTCGCTGAGACAAGGACGCTTTTTGATCCCCAGCATCATGCCTTCTGGCATCGATGTTGACAAACTGCGTGAGGATCGGGAACGCGTCATCTACAACCGCATGTCGTCAAGATATCAGGAACTCAAAGCAATTCCTGCTAACCTGCAGCACTGGGAAACGAGAAACGCCGATGACCTCTCAGCGGACGACAGCCTGAAGCGCAAGGCACTCATTGAGTTGAAGATGCTTGAGCAATACTCGAAGCAACGCACAATGAGAGACCGTATTGCGCGCCAGATGATCCAATACGATAACCTGGCCATGACTGCGAACAGGAGCATGTATCGCCGCATGAAGAAGCAGTCTCTCCGCGAAGCGCGCATCACCGAGAAGCTCGAGAAGGAGCAGCGTGACGCGAGAGAGACGAGGGAGAAGAAGAAGCACACCGATTACCTCCAGACTGTCCTGCAACACGGCCGCGAGATCGCCATTGCGGCCAGTGCGCAGAAGAGTAAGATGCAGAAGCTGGGTCGCATGATGCAGGTCCAGCACCAGACCATCGAGAAGGAAGAGCAGAAGCGCATCGAGAGGACTGCTAAGCAGCGTCTCGCGGCCTTGAAGTCTAACGATGAGGAGGCTTACTTGGCACTGCTCGACCAGGCGAAGGATACGCGTATTACGCATCTGCTGAAGCAGACTGATGGCTTCTTGACCCAGCTTGCTCAGTCTGTGAAGGCGCAGCAGAGGAAGGCTGCCGAGAGATACGGTGATGCTGGTGCCTTTGAGGATGAGGAGGAGTCTGAGTCGGAAGACGAGGAAATGAACAGCGATGTTAAGAAGATCGACTACTATGCTGTTGCTCATCGTATCAAGGAAGAAGTTACGAAGCAATCGAGTATTCTGGTTGGTGGTACGCTCAAGGAATACCAGATCAAGGGTCTCCAATGGATGATTTCGCTTTACAACAACAACCTGAATGGTATCCTTGCCGACGAGATGGGTCTCGGAAAAACCATCCAAACCATCAGTTTAATCACATACCTGATTGAGGCGAAGAAGCAGAATGGTCCCTTCCTTGTCATCGTCCCCCTCAGTACCTTGACTAACTGGAACCTTGAGTTCGAGAAGTGGGCCCCTTCAGTCAAGAGAATTGTATACAAGGGATCGCCGCTTGCCAGGAAAGAGCAACAGCAAGAGATCAGATATGGCCATTTCCAGGTTCTTCTCACCACCTACGAGTACATTATCAAGGATAGACCAGTTCTGAGCAAGATCAAGTGGATCCACATGATTATCGATGAGGGTCACCGTATGAAGAACGCCAAATCGAAGTTGAGTGGTACACTGTCACAGTACTACTCTACGCGCTATCGTCTCATTCTCACTGGTACCCCGCTGCAAAACAACTTGCCTGAACTTTGGGCCCTGCTCAATTTCGTCCTGCCTACCATCTTCAAGTCCGTCAAATCGTTCGACGAGTGGTTCAATACTCCCTTCGCCAACACCGGAGGTCAAGATAAGATGGAGCTCACTGAAGAAGAACAGATTCTCGTCATTCGCCGCCTGCACAAGGTCCTGAGACCCTTCTTGCTCAGACGTCTCAAGAAGGATGTCGAGAAGGATCTACCTGAGAAGAGCGAGAAGGTTATCAAGACCCGATTCTCGGCTCTCCAGGCACGCCTGTACAAGCAGATGGTTACCCATAATAAGTTGGTTGTCAGCGACGGCAAGGGAGGCAAGACTGGCGCTCGTGGTCTCAGTAACATGATCATGCAGCTGAGGAAGCTGTGTAACCATCCGTTCGTCTTCGACGAGGTTGAGAACCAGATGAACCCCAAGAACACCAGCAACGATCTTCTGTGGCGCACGTCTGGAAAGTTCGAGCTGCTCGACCGTATTCTGCCAAAGTATCAGCGTTCTGGCCACAGAGTTCTTATGTTCTTCCAAATGACGGCGATTATGGATATTATGGAGGATTTCTTACGTCTCCGCGGCATCATGTACTTGCGCCTGGACGGAACCACCAAGTCGGATGATCGTTCCGACTTGCTCAAGGAGTTCAACAGGCCCGATTCACCATACTTCATGTTCTTGCTGTCCACACGTGCTGGTGGTCTCGGTCTTAACTTGCAAACCGCCGACACCGTTATCATCTACGATTCGGATTGGAATCCTCATCAGGATTTGCAAGCTCAGGATCGTGCCCATCGTATCGGTCAGAAGAACGAGGTCCGTATCTTGCGACTCATCAGCTCAAACTCCGTCGAGGAGAAGATTCTCGAGCGTGCCAAGTACAAGCTTGATATGGATGGCAAGGTTATTCAGGCTGGTCGTTTCGACAACAAATCTTCCGAGACTGATCGTGATGCTATGCTTCGTGTCATGTTGGACACGGCCGAATCAGCGGAGAGCCTTGAGCAAGAAGAGATGGACGATGATGATCTGAATCTGATGCTGGCACGTAGCGAAGAGGAAGTCGAAATCTTCAGGGCAATGGACGAGGAGCGTGCTAAGGACCCTACCTACGGCAATGCGCCGGGTTCTAAGCGGATGCCTCGCCTCATGGCTGACAATGAGTTACCAGATATCTATCTGTCTGAGGGTAATCCGATTGAAGATGAGCCTGAGGAGATTAGAGGTCGCGGTGCTAGAGAACGCAAGACTCTCCATTATGATGATGGACTTACGGAAGAGCAGTGGCTGAACGCTGTCGATGCCGATGATGACACGCCAGAAGCTGCTGCGCTGCGGAAGGCCGAGAGGAAGGAGCGCCGTCGCCTAAAGAAGATGAGGAAGGAGCAGGGAATTTCCGCCGCTGGCGATTCTGACACTGATGGCACCAAGGACAGTGATGATGATGAGCCGGAGCCAGAGCCCGAACCAGTTGTCAAGAAACCACGTGGACGCAAATCCGCTGGCAAGATTGACAAGAGGAAGGCGGAGGACTTCGAGGAGGAGGAGAAACCAGCGCCTAAGAAACCGAAGCGAGGCGGTCAAGGTCGCCCGAAGTCGATGGGCGGTGGTGGCGGAGTTTCCGGTGATCATC